CTCCCCATGCAGGGAATCCAATTCACCCCAAATTCTCTCTCTATCAGAAGGAGAGTTGGGGCCATACACTCCGGTAAGAATACAGCTGGACCCATCTTTAATATTTGTGAACAAAACCGAGACTAAGAATTCACCTTTGCCAATCTCCAAACCTGAAATTTCGTCTTCCTTCCATGCTAGGATGAATCCACCAGCGGATCCCACCGCTGGAACAGCAGTCCATTTCCTACCCCTTATTCCCCAAATGGCTTTCATAAGTTTTCTGTCAATAACTTCCTTTTTTGATTCCTGAAGAATAATTATGTCTAGGTTTTCTCTTTTCAATGTTTCTTTCACTAAGCTTCTTTTAAGCTGACCTCCCAAACCCCTGACATTCTAGCTTAACACCTTCATTGAGCTCTAACAGAAATCCCCTTGTTCGTCCTACTTCCATCTGAGGTGCAATCCATTAATCCCCACTGAAGCCTTTTTAATTCTTTTTTGGGACCTTTTTTTTCTACTTTTCTCCTGAATATTTCCGGATTTGATCTTCTCTTTCTCACAAGTTCGCTGTTTTTCATCTTCTTCATCTCTTCTTTCAATTCCTAAAGCTCCAGCTATGTTAACATTTCCCATATTCTCCACCACCTTCCTACCAATGCTTGATGGAGCAGCTGTCTGAGCTGGAACTTTCAGCTTTGGATGGGATGACAATTCATTTGAACCTGAAAAAAGAAATGGAGATGAAAGACAATGAGAGACAGAAGAGATAACAGGAGCTTTCAATTCCCAAAGCTCTGCAATCACATCTAGAGGAAGCTCAAATCTGCTTCTGGTCGTTTTCTACTTTTCTCTCACTATCTGATCGGTTTCTCTCAAGAAACTAGATCTGTAATGGCTTAATTTCTTTTCCTATTTTGTTTTCCTGGTTGTGGACACCATTGGTGACTGGTGTGTCATGTAGTAGTTTGAGCCCTCTATTGTAGTGTTACAAAGAGGGATAAAAGTGTTGTATAGGTGAATCAGTGTTGATGGCATGCTAGTAGGTGATGACAGCTGGTTGTGGGTTATGAAGCGTATAGCTTAGAAGTAGGTTATTGCAGATAGGAAGCAATACAGTTTTCAGATTTTCTGTTGATTGTTTGGTGCATCTGATACATACCAGGTTAAATTTTGAAGTTGATTACTATTTTGTAGACTCATTTCCATCTGTATTGTTTACTACTTCAATTGAAGGGAGCCGGTTACAAGCACAACTTGCATGGAAGCCTCCAGAAGTGACAGTAATGAATAAACACCCAGAGTTTCATGCCAGTACATCATTATCATCATCATCTAAACCTTATCCCTTTCAGTCACTCCAAAAGTATTCTCAAACTTATCAAGTCAAGAGGGAAATGAAGGAACCAGAAAGTGCTGATTTCCCCACAAAGGTATCCTTTATAAAATGAAATGGTGGGAAAATTACACTTCTGCCCCATATAGCAGTACATATAAGAGTGTCTCTAAAGAGCCATAGTATATAAATCAAAAATGAGAAAAACTATTATAAACATTGCAATATTAATCCCTTAAACTGATGTGGATAAACCTGCATCAATTTCACAACTAGAAACTGGTGTAGAAACGGGGAGGAATCCTTTGAAGGTGTACATACACTCCCCCTTAAACTGATGTGGAGAAACTAGCATCAGTTTCTCAAATAGAAACTGATGTATAAATCTTGTTTACTTCTACTTTCTTCAGATGACCGAAGAAACGGGGAAGAATTCTTTGAAAGGTGTACAAGAGTTGCAGTAATAATTTCAAGTAAGCAAATCAGCATCAGTTTCTCAACTAGAAACTGATGTACAAGGTTTGTTTGCTTCTACTTTCCTCAGCTGGCCGAAGAAACAGGGAACAATCCTTTTGAAGGTGCACAAGAGCTGCCGTTTGCTGGACAATTTGGGGAAAAAGAAATTTGAATCTTTTCAGAGGAAAGAAGCAGAGAAGCCTTACCTGAAATTATTACTGTCAGAGTGATACGTTGGATGAAATCCATGCTCCTGTTTGAGGATTTAAATGCTAATGACCTGTGTAGGAAGTGGAAGGAGAAGGAGGTGAAAAACTCAGCTACTCATGCTGCTGTTATAAGGTGGTCTTGATAGCCACCGGTTGATGGCTTCATTAAGCTGAATTTTGATGGCAGTAGTGAAGCAAATTCCGGTCCTTCAGGCATTGGAGGGGTTTTCAAGAATGATGAAGGAAGAATTCTAGACTTTTTTTAAGGTCCAATTGGTGTTGGTGGTTCTTTGAGGGATGAAATTTTGGCCGTAATGGAAGGTCTTATAAGGGCCAAGGAGCTGAATGTTCAGAAATTGATTATCGAAGAAGATTCAAAGCTAGTGATAAGCTGGCTGCAAAAGGAGGATGTGGGTTGGTGGAATTATATTAATAAAAAAAAGGAAATTCAACTGGACGACACTTGGTATGGAAGTTAGATTCCAATGGGTGAAAAGAGACGCCAACTCTTTAATTGATGCTTTGGCCAAACAAGGGGTGGGACGAGATCATTTGCATTGTATCTTCTTTCTATTAATCTTTCATGAAGTAATTCAGTTATTAATCAAAAAAAAATAGAAACTGGTGTACTGCACGTATCATGGCCTTGATGAAAATATATATACGTTGTAATTGAGATGACACATGAGAAAGAAATATAAGGGCCAGCAAGGAAGAGGTCTCAAATAAAATGATAAACAACTTCAATATGCTTGGTCATCTCATGGAACACCGGATTAGAAGCAATCTTTAAGCATTGGTGTTGTCAGCATTAAATGGAATGGGAGAAGATAAAAGAGATACCAAAGTCATAGAGAAAGAGACAGGAGCCAAACAATTTCACTACAAAGGATGGCATAGCCCTATACTCTGCTTAAGTAGAAAATATTGAGACTCTTCGTTGTTCCTTGCATTTCCAAGAGATAGAGAATCAGTTCGAAACACAAACCAACCCAGTAGTAGAACGGCATGAATTGGGGACAGCTTGCCCAATCAGCATCAGCATATGCTTTGAGCTAAATTAGGGAGGATGATGAAAAGAAGAGGTCACTATCCAAAGTACAGCATGCATACCAAATAATCATTTGCACTACAGACATATGAGGCTGATGAGGAGAGGTAACAAATTAACTGACTATTTGAACAGCACAGAATATGTTAGGTCTAGTCATGGTCAAGTAAATGATAACCCCACAAGTTGTCTATGTAATGTAGCACCAAGAAGAGGCTGCCTAGTGCCTTTAGAAAGTTTGACATTTAACTCAAAAAGAGTACCACACCTCTTTATCATCAATGAGATGAACAAGGCAAACCAAGTCAGTGGCATACTTCTGTTGGCTAATAAAATATCCACAAGTGCTCCGATGGACTTCCAAGCCTAGGAAATAGGTAAAGACACCCAAATCTTTCACTTTGAAAGAACTGAGCAAAAGACTTAAGATCAGTAATCCCAAAAGCATAATCTCTTGTCACCAATTTATCATCTACATATAATAGAAATATTGTGATGCCAAAGAATGATTAGTAGTGCATTGATGAAATCCAACAAGAAGTGATCACCTCTCAAACCATGCACAAGGTGCTTTGCTTGAGACCATATAAGGACTTCCTTGACCGAAAAACCAAGGAGGGATTATTACAATATCCAGGAGGAGGCCTCCTGTAGATTGTATCTTTCAATACCTCTAAAAATTAGCACTTTTTGTTGGAAGGTTTTCAACACCAAAATCAACACTTGTGATGTCATTCAAAGAAAAAGGACCAGCAATATGTATCACCTAATATTTAGTTTTCTAAATACTCTTAAGCATTTGGATCACGTTCTTTTCTTTGTTTGGATGCAAATGGGCATAGCCATGTGACATTAGAATCTTATTCAAGACCTCATTTCTCCCACAAGGGAAAAAATGAAAGAGGGGTAAAATCATGTGGAGGTGAAACAGGTAGGAAGGAATGCTAGAATATTCAAAGAGCAGATGAAGAATAGAGAGACTATTATTGAAAATGTATCAACCGAGGTGGTATATTGGGTAGAAACCTTGTTGATAGTCAAAAGACGCCTCCAATGATAATATCATTAGGAATTGGCAGGCATTGGCTAACTCGTCAACAAGGAACCTCATAGCAGCATCTTGGTTCCTCCTTCCCCCAAGTCCATCAAGTTCAACTTTGATGCATGCAGCTTAGGAAATCCAAGACCGTTTTGAACCGTAGGAGTGACCTAGAAGATAAGGGATTGATCTATTTTAAGGTCCCATCAGTTTTATGGATTCAACTCATGCAGAATTTCTGGCTGTTAGAAAGGCCTTGGAAATGGCTATGTTGCTGCTCATCAAAATCCTGGAAGTGGAGGGAAGCTCAAAGGTGACAGTAAGATGGCTTACAAGATGGGGAACCGCTTCATGGAAGTATAGACATGCTATCAAAGAGATAAAGCAACTAACTAGTTTGATATATATGAGGTACAAATTGACTCTGAGATCAGCCAATTTATTCGATGTTGGACTGACAAAACAAGCTGCAATTTGGGACCATCTGTATTGGGGTATTAACAAATCAAGGAGGGGAGGCATAAAAGTGTATAGTATAAAGGGAAGGGGTTAAGATAGACTAGCAAAGGAGTTCCTGGCACATTACAATATATACCATTTTTTATTCTTTTTTTTCATAATTAACAAAATCTTGCACCAATGAAAAAGAATAGAAACCTTTTTTTTTTCCTAAATGAGTGGTATGTAATTAAGCATTGCAATAGAAACCTTATACTTATTGTCACAAACATTGCAATACATGGTGAAGCAAATGCATCGGAAGCATTTGAGCACAATGTCAGCTAAATATCAAGTGATTAAAAACCAAGGTTACCTTCTCAAAATCCATGATTGTTAAGGCAGTTCTGCTTATAACTTACGATTAAGTAGATTTTATAATCCTTTCCTTGTTATGCAGTAAAAATGGGGTCAGGCTAGGACAAAACTAACCTGATTCATTTCAGACACAAGCTGGTTCAGTATCTTCAAGCCAATGGCATAGTGACCTGATGTTGCCTGATCCAAGCAAAACAAAATTGTAAGAAGATTACATTTGCAATCTTGCTTGACAAAACGCCATAACTATAATGAATAAAACAATCGCAAAAATACCTGAAGAAACCAATAAGAAAGAAAATTGTAACAGAGAGCTTAAAAAGTTATGTCACAGAAGTATAACAGACCACAATGGATCAAACAAGAAAATTTAAGGGTTTCGCCAATGAACTAAATGAAATTAGTTTTCAGAGTAGAAAGGACATTGTGCCATTGTTGTCTGTAATTAAGAGTTCCAAAAATCTGTCCTACAGGGAGTTCATGAAGGTTCAAGGGCTGAAATAATAGCAGAATATGTCCGTAATAAATCAGTCACTTAAAGATGGCATATATAAAACGGCTAGTCTATAGGATAGAACTAAAGGGGTAGTAATTTTTGAAATCCAGTAGTTGAGAGGTTCACTAAGACATTGGCTTCTTGGAAGAAAAGTTATTTGTCTTCGGGGGGTGGGGAATCACTATAGCCAAATTGCTGGTTTATTGTCTATTGGCCTTTAGGATTCCATGGGGGTTAGCAAAAGGCTAGAAAAGCTAATGAGAGAAATCTTGCAAGAGCCAAGGGAGGAGAAAAAGAACCATAGAGTTAGTTGGGAAGTAATCAGTAGAAGTATGAAATTTGGTGGGTTAGGTTTGGGGAATATTCAGGAAAAGAATGTGGCTTTACTTGCTAAATGGCTTTGGAACTTGCCACTTGATAGGGACAAGTTGTGGGCAAAGGTAATTATCAGTATTCATGGTCTTACGGTTGATTGTTCAGATGCTGGAGTGCTGGCTAGAGCTACAAGATCCTCTCCTTGGAAATCTATCCACGCTATCATTCCTTCATTCTTGCCACATTTCAGGTATAATCCGTGCTCTGGTAATCTTGTGGGATCATGTTTGCACGGGTAAGTCAGCCCTTAAAGAGCAATTCTCTTACATTTATGCATTCTATAATCAGAGGGGTGAGCCCATTGCTTCCTTTATGATTCCATCCAACTCTACATCAGGGTTTGATTGGGATTTGGTGCTCAGAAGAGGTCTACGTGACTTAGGTGACTATGAATAATTAGGTAATGCTTTGTTTTTTATCCAAGGTCTCAAAGGGATCTTTTTGGACCCTTCACGAAGTGACCATCGAATCTAGACTCTCTCCCCTTCAGGTACCTTCACCTGTGCCTCTTTCTTTTTGTCCCTAAGTCTACGTGACTTAGGTGACTATGAATAATTAGGTAATGCTTTGTTTTTTATCCAAGGTCTCAAAGGGATCTTTTTGGACCCTTCGCGAAGTGACCTTCGAATCTAGACTCTCTCCCCTTCAAGTACCTTCACCTGTGCCTCTTTCTTTTTGTCCCTAATTCGACCAAGTGATAGCATGGGCCAACCTTTTCCAGTAAAAGAGGTTTTGGGTATGCCAATTCTGCCTAGGATTGGAGGTTTCTGTTGGGAAGTGTTTCTGGATAGAATTAACACATGTGACCTACTCCAAAAAAAAAGACCTAATTGGTGCTTATCTACTCATTGGTGTATCCTTTGTAAGCCGAAGGGGAGTCTTCCTATCACTTATTAATCTCCTATCCCTTTGTATCTTCAATTTGGGAATGGTTTCTATCCTTGTTTAGGTGTAGGTGGAACCCCCTCCCCCCCCCCCCACCAAATGTACAAAGATTGTTTGGCCCTACCTCTGTTAGTTGGCAAAAGAATAGGGGAAGAATTTTATGGATATGTATGAGAACTGCAGTTTGTTGGACAATATGGGAGGAGAGGAAACAGAGAACATTTGCAGAAAAAGAGAGAAGCAAGGAAGCCATTATTAAAGCTATCACTATTATTAGAGTGGTCCATTAGGTGAAAACTTTAAAATTATTTAAAGGTGTATTGGCTGCTGAAATGTTGAGGAACTGGAAGCTAGTGGCTAATTCTGCTCCACTAAAACCTGTTATAAAGCCATCTTGCTCTCCCCCAAGCGGTGGATTTACAAAGCTGAATCTTGATGATAGTAGCGAAGGTAATCTAGGCCCCTCAGGCATAGGAGTCTTTGGGAATGAGGAGGGAAAAATAATGGCTTTATTCTCAAGTTCTAAAGTGTTGGAGATTTTTTGAGAGCTGAAATCCTTGCTGTTATGGAAGCAGTTCAAAAATCCAAAGAATTGAAATTATATAAACTGATAATTGAAGGGGATTCAAAGTTGGTTATTAGCTGGCTCCAAAAGGAGGAGATGGGGTATGTAGAGACAAAGAGAGATAAGGGTTATTTTTGTCTGTTTGTGCCCTTTCTATGCATAAGATTGTTTCTTATTCTTTTGTACATTATTTGTATCTTGAGGACAGTAAGGTCCTTTTATTATTTTAATATAAATCTTCTTTCCTAGGTGTCGACTGTCACTTTAGACACACCCAACAACTGTTTATCTTCCTCTTCTTCAGTCTCACAATCTAACTATGACATGGTATCAGAGCATGTCACGATCTAATCTACTTGAGGAAGATTCTTGACCTTCAATCCTACACTATTTATTTAGGACTTTTCCTGTTTTGAACAGCCAATATCAAGTCTTGTTCCAGGAGTTTTGCACCACCAACTTCAGTATTTCCTCTGGATCTCCTTCAAGAAGCATTGGATCTACATGGAACTTTGGATTTGGTGTCGCCCAAAGGAGTGCTTTTGATCTCTTTTCGCCTGGTTTGGATTGGATCAGTTTGATAAGGGTTTTGATATCGCTCTTGGATCGGTTGATTGCTACAGTTTCCTTCTTTGGACAAGTGAGAATTTTTTTGGTATTCCTTTATTCTCTATTGTTTCTAGTTGTCCTGGTTATTTGTTGGACTAGGATTGGTCTATCTTTTCTACCTCTGAAACATTTTTCCATCAATAACAGAAAATTTTCATTAACTATGGAAACAAGTACAATGGAACACCACAGAGAGAGAAAACCTCTGCCTCTGAAACATTTGCAGGGATTTTTTGAGTCATCTGAAAGTTGTTTACTTTACTCTCTTCTTTTGAGGTAACTGCTACTACTCTTTGAGGGGATTGTTACTTTTCCTTGGGAGTTTTACATTGTTGTTTTTCAACTGTGTGCCTAATTTTTGTTGATTAATGGCTTCAAAATGAGTAGATGTCCTTCTCATCAAGTTTAATGGGTCCAATTATGCTTCATGGATGTTTCACTTCCAATTCCATGTTGAGGCAAAGGGACTTTGGACAATGCAAACATTGCCTCAAGGATACTTGGACCAGTTGAAGTTGATACTGCTATTAACTTATCAAAAAAAAAAAAAAAGTGGATATTGTCATTCCTATGCAAGGGTACAAGACTTCTTATGAGATGTTCAGAACCTTGAGGAGGTTTATCAATAATCAAACCTCTCTAGGCAATACTAAATTGAAGTTGACATATTCTCTTATCACCAAGGAGAAAGGAAAATTCAGGAGTATTATGCAAGGTTCATTAACATCTAGACTGAGTATGAATTCGTCCACATGGGAGATGATCCTTCAGATTGTTGTGTTAAGTTTATGAAGGCACATTTTGATAGAAGGAAGATTGTTGTGTTAAGTTTATGAAGGCACATTCCCGAATGCATCTTAGACCAAGTTGTTAGGTCTAGTATTCTCAATAACAAGACCCTTCCTTACCTAGACAACATTCTTGGGGAACTTTTAAGAGAAGAAACTAGATTAATTACTTAGACTACACTTGATGGGAAGAGGAATCCTTATATAGGTGTTGTTTTCCTTGCAACAAAGCCCAAGGGGAAGAAAGATTTTTCTTAGGTACAGTGTTATGAATGTAAAGATTTTGGGCATGTATCTCACACTGCAAGAAAAAGAACGCTTGCACTTATTGCAAGCAACAAGGACATATTATTACAGAGTAACCCACTTGACCCCCAATGGGGGGGTGGGTCCAATCAGAAGGGCTCCTGTAAGGCTTATCAGACTTCTAAAGAGGGTTCGGATGCTTCATCTTCTACTACTTCCTCGGTGTTGAAGAATGATACCTCCAGTATTATGTCAGAGCAAAAGATTCAACAACTTTTGTCCTTGACTATCCACTATCTCTTCCGCTTTGTCAGCTATCAACCTGTCTGGTAAATCTCCTCCTTTTTGTCCTTCATTAAATCACCTTTGGATCATTGATTCAAGAGCCTCAAATCATATGACAAGGACCTCTTTTGATCAATCTACCTAAGACCTTGTTTTTACCTAAACTTACCACCAATTTGATTTCTGTTGGGCAACTTGTTGAAGATGGTAATATTGCTTTGTTTGATTCTTATGGTTGCTTAATAAAGGACTAGAAAATTAGGGAGGTGAAGAGGAAGGGACTTAATTGGATCGAATTTTTGCTCTAGAATTCAAGAAGAAGGCTCATCCCACATCTACTTCTTATTTACTGTTTACTACTTGTTTTGAGACTATTAATTGTAATAATGCTTAGCACATTTGGCATAGATGCCTTGGTCATATCTTTTTTTACGAAACTTGATTAATTGTTTTCTTTTGGTAGTTTACCAACTTTAGTTGCTTCCTTTAAAGATATCAACAAAGCTTGCATTACTTGTTGCTTGTGTAAAAGCCATGTCTTACCTTTTCCTTCTCATTATGAGCATACAACTATTCCATTTTAGTTAACACATAGTGATGTTTGGTCATCTCCAGTTGTCTCTAGGTTAGGATACAAGTATTTTGTGACTTTTATTGATGACTACACCCGCTTTACTTGGATTTATTTTCTTCACAAGAAACCCGAAGTGTTCTCTACCTTCAAACTATTTCAAGCCTAAGTTGCTACTGAGTACAAAACCAACATATGCATTCTACGTTTGGATTCAGGGGGGAGTATTTTGATGAGAACTTTCAAATTTACTCGAAACAACATGACATCCAATCCCACAAACCATGTCCTGGTAACCCACAACAGAATAGGGTGGAAAAAAGAAAGAAAAAGCACATCTTGAGTGTAATAAGAACTCTT